CCTAAACCCGTGAAAAATAGAAAGAGTTGTAAGAGGATAGTTGGTCTTTGCCCATTGAAGGAGGAACATTAGTGGATGCCGGTGGCCTCGATAGAAGAGGAATCAGGAGTGGACATAGGTCACGACGACTGAACCACTATAAATTAGCTTGTAATTTCCTTTATATTTTTCATTTATAATTGCTAATTAATTTATTTGCTCACTTATTTACTACGCTTACAAATACTTTCAAGTTTAAACAGATTTTCGATATCGATTTTTATCGAACGAGTTTTTCAAATCGACGTTTTTACATAAGCACTAATTCACCCCCCGCCCCCTCTTACTGTCATATTAATCCTACTAGAAAGAGCACGAAAGTGTGAACAAAAGTCGACATTTTGGGATGTGAAAGTGTTTTAAAAGTGCTAAGTGTCCTCCTCCTCCTTCTTTAACTTTGTTATCAATCTAAGATAGGTGTGAGGTTTGTAAAAGGTAAAAAGGAAAGAGTTGTAAGAGGGTGATTGGTCTTCACCCTTTGAAGAAAAACCATTAATGGCTTATAAGATTGGTGTTTAGTTCTTCGTTTCAGCGCGCAGGAGAACTATCTTCAAGTTTATCTTTTCTGTTCACTTCCATCCTATGATCAACCATAGATTTCACTCGATGGAAGGCCAATCCACAATATAATCTAAAGCATGTCGCAAGAGAAGTCGCATCTGATGCACGTGTCTTTCCTGCGTCGAATGACGATTTCTGATAAGAAGATGAAGTTGGCATCGTGCTCATCTTTGCTATCTATATGGGGAATTCAAAAAGGAAAAGCTTTGAGGGATGCACGGCGTCATCATCTTTTTCTACATCTCACTTTATACTACTGTGTCTCACCAGTGCCGGATGCTTATCTGGTGTGAAGTGTAAGCTTCCTTTAGATCAGCTGGAATTTTATAAAGCTAAGTGTTTTTGGGTTTCGCTTTACTAAACAGAGGTCATGACAACGGTGTCAGCTAACATAATTGATATAGATATCGATAGTATGTCGTAATGTCCTGAACTCGAATTCAGTCTTCGCCACTTACTCCTTGCAAATTAAGAACAGAGATAATGATCACATAAATATCGAGGACAATAAAATCTATATACTGCATGGAAATGATGATCTTAAGAAAAGCAGGAATTAAGATCAGCAAGCCTGTAGCTTTTATCTAACCATGGAGAGATAGGATAAAAAGGCCTTGTCGAAAGCTGGATTCGTGATACTTTATGAGAAGAAGCTCTCCATCTTGATACGGGGTTGAACGCAGCTCGTGATGCATGGGAGCGATTTGAAGATGCCTCTGCACAGGTGTTCAAGGATGAAGAACAACTTTTACTCGTTACCAAGTCACCGAATCCATTAAGAGGCTTTAGGCAATCGGTGAAGAACTTGGTGCAATGCAAAAGTCATGGTAAAGTTGCTGGGAAATGGATGTCAAAATCCTGTGTGTCTGTTATCGTGAGCTTCAAGCTCGAGTTCTTTTAGGAACATAAACACAGCAGTAGATGTGTAACATGGTAGAGTAGCAGAGAAGGCAAAGGTGAAGCCCATGACCATTAAAGGTTTCATTCACTTCACCAGTTCTTGACCAAGCTGCACTATGAAGAGACCTTGATCCTCACCATTTAAACTCGTAATGCGTTGGTCTCAATGAAAGAGAAATTAAGAGTGGATGTAGGTCACGATAGCCAAACTACTATAAAATTGGTGTGCACTTTCTTGTTGCTCTTCATTACTATTGTTTTCTGTCTTAATTGTTTATCACTCTTATTCTAAGTCAAGCACACTTCCAATATATTTTTCGATACACTTTTATCAAGCTGAAAGTTTCGAATCAAATCAATTTTCGCGATAGCATTAATTTACCCACCCTACCCCCCCCCCCCCCCCCTCCTATTAGTGCCAACTTGATCCTAATAAAATAGTTTTCATTAAGTCATATAAATATTATTTTATGAGTGTTCTTAATCATATCTTTTGTTTAATATTATTTTATTTTTTATTAAAAAAATCTTTTTTAATTACATCGTAATATTTTGTTTTTATCATTTTCTTGCTCCCCATACTCATAGGTCCTCTTCTTTTAAAGACAACATTTCTTGAAACTCTTATAATATGTTTATTCTTATTTTCAATACCGAATGATATTTTCGTTTGAAAGAAAAAGAGTGTCGAAATATGAGAGAAATTGATTGTATACAATTAAAGCACAAGATGCTGTAATAATGGAAGGATTAGCAATGCTTAAAGCCCTAAATATGCTTCTGCTAACATCGTCACCTACGTAAACAGCAATATATACACTCCCTGATTCCTAGATGGCATTGTCTTTTACATTGCTATCCTTTGTACGAAGCTGAAGGTTGTTAAGTTCAGCTTCATCCCTAACAATCACCATCTTGCATTTGTTTGGGGAGAACTCACGAGGTACTCTTCCTTTTGGAACGCTGTTGCAACAGCCCTGCCTAGCAGCTGTAACTCACTTTCTTAGGTGCTAATGCGTCTCATGTGAGGCTGCAGTTCCAGATGACTTCCAGTATTGAAGTTGTGGAGCTGATCATCCACCACAGAGAAGGGAATAAGCACAGCCACATGTTCGCCGGAAGGCTTGAAACACAAGGACAGACTCATCGGCCGACTGATGGAAAAGCTCTCCATGAAATAGATTGTGGCACGAGACGTTCCATCATGTCTGTGGGGTTCGGAACATTCCATAAGCAGTCTTTAATATTTGGAGATCCCATCATAGATATGAATTCCAATAATTTTCTTCTAATATATATTAAGAAAATCCGCCAACATGTTGTTTTTTCCTATTCATTTAAGCATAATTGGATAGATTTTGGAAAGAAGTTCTTTTTTTTTCACTTTTGTCAAAAAGAATCTTTTATTTCTAGATTTTTTTAATAATAATATATATATGTTTAATATCTGGAATACTCTTAAGTTGATAGTCACCTAACCAACAGATCGGTCAGAGCATTTGGCTATGCTGCAATTAAAGCACACAATACTGTAATAGCGGAAGGAATAGCAACTTGAAACCCTAAATTTTTTACAGCGCAGGAGGGCTTAAGCAAGATATGGATTCTGCAGTCTTTAATAATGCTACTCTTTGTATGAGGCTGAAGGTTGTGGAGTTCAGCTTCATCCCCACACAACTTAACACTTCTGCTCACAATCATCTTTATTTTGGGAAGGCTGATGCGACAGCCTTGCCTAGCAGCCGCAACACTA